TTGCCAGGATCCAGGTCTCCTGCCTCCTACTCAATCAATCAACAAACATGAAGTGCCTACTATATGTCAGGCACTGTGCTAAGTACTTGAGGATACAAAAATTAAAGTGAAATAAATAATCTCTGCCCTCTGGGAGCTTACATTCTATCCTGAGAGATCTGCCATGCAATCTGACTTAAGATTGCATTAAGACTTCGGAGATACCTTGTGTGAGTATATGCAAAATAATGTAATTTTGTAGAGTGGAGGGAAGGGAGGAAGCCACCAACCTGTGGGTGTCCTTTCCATCATACCATATTGTGAGGCCTGCCTCTTCCAATTCTTTGGTCCATCCCCCGCATATTGGAACCTGCTCCCAATCATCTCAAGACCACAGGAATGTATCAGCCCTTGGAAATAGGAAACCTGTGATTATGTTACTGTTTATTTAAATTCAGAAGTGCCACCTGGGCACACCTAGAACTAGTGGGCAAATTGGTCCTCCCTCTAGCTTTGAGGCAAAATCCTTCACTGCCTTTAAAATGAAGTCCAAGGGCCATCTTGTACATGAAACCTTTCCTGATCCCCCCAATCACTGTTGTCCTCCCTTCCTAAACTATCCGATATTTATTCACTATGTGTGTAATACTCCTGTGTCCATATAGACGGTATAATTCATAGACTTGGCATGGATAGAAATTATCTGTAACCTGGACTGCTTCTGTGAAAAGGTCATTTCTATAGCACCAGCAAGTTAACTCAGAGGATGAGAAGGAGAAAGAGGCAGAGAGTAGGCAGGGCCCAAGAGCACGATGCTGGGCACTTTATCTTCCAGTTTCCAGGAGCGGTATTGTACTAGAATTATATCTCTCTTCCCTGCTCAAATATTGGCAATCTAGGGCAAGATAAGCTCAGAATAACTTACCCTTGTTTCCATGATTGCTCTTAAGGGAAAGGGTAGCTCCAAGCTAAGACCCATCAGCATGGCCCTTTTCCACCAAACTCTGTTTACCCAAATAGAGAACAGCAAGGAAACCCATTTATCTAAGCAAAACAGCAAAAAGAAATCAGGTAAATTATGCAGATTAGAATATACAAAAAAAAAGAAAGAAAAAAAAGAATATACCAAAGAATATGTGAGAGAATAAGCTCTTTGGCTGGGAGCAAGGTAAGATCTCAGCTCAAACCAGGAGGGAGGGAGGGCCTGAACTCACCCAAGAGAACTCATCTCTAGGGAAATGTTCTGGAAATTAGGGACATATTGAGGAGCCAGAGTCCTCGCCATGTCTGCACGGGTATCTCTGAAGAATGGAGAAACTGGAACCAAATTAGTAAGTTCCCAATACATGTCAGAAGTGTTGTGCTCATTTGGAACTAGGCCCAAAGGACAATAAAACTGTGCCTACCCTTTAGCCCAGCAATACCACTACTAGGTTTGTGTCCCAAAGAGATCAAAGGAAAAGGAAAAGGACCTATTTGTATAAAAATTTTTATAGCAGCTCTTTTAGTGGTGGCAAAGAACTGGAAATTGAGGAGATGCCTATCAATTGGGGAAAGGCTGAACAGGTTATGATATATGATTGTGATGGGATACTATTGTGCTATAAAAAATGACAAGCAGGAAGCTTGCAGAAAAACATGGAAAGACATATAAATTGATGCAAAGTGAAGTAAGCAGAACCAGGAGAACATTGTATGCACTAACAGCAATACTGTACAATGATCAACGTGAATGACTTAACTATTCTCAGCAATACAATGATCCAAGACAATTCCAAAGGACTCATGATAAAAACTACTATCCATCTCCAGAAAAAGAACTGATGGAGGGAGTCTGAATGCCTCCGGATCAAAGCACACCATTTTTCACTTTTTTTTTCTGTTTTTTTTTTGTCTGTGTTTTCTTTCACAACACGACTAATATAGAAATGTTTTACCTGATTGCACATGTCTAACCTATATCAAATTGCTTACAGCCTTGGGGAGGGAGGGAAGGAGAGAATTTGGAACTCAAAAAATTTTTAAAGGAATGTTAAAAATTGTTTTTACATGTAATTGGGAAAAAATATTATTCAAAAACATTTTTTTAAAAAAGGAATTGTGCTAGGTGGTATTCTCCCCATCAGTAAAGAGTAACTCCACAGACACAACAATGCACCCACTGCCCCAGGCCACAGTGAAAGGCAGGTACACTTATATGTGTGCATGACATTTCTCCTAATAGAATTTAAGGTCTTTGAATGTAAGATTTCATTTTTGTCCTTTTTATCCTCAGAGATTAACAGAGAGGAACTTAATAAATGCCTGACAATTGATCAGAAAAATTTTTTTTGCAAGTAACTTGTTTTGATTTGATGACTCAAAATCACTTAGACACTAGAGGAGGAGGGGCAGCTAGGTGGCGCAGTGGATAGAGCACCGGCCCAGGAGTCAGGAGGACATGAGAGGAGGAACAGCTTTTTTATTTTTATTTTTATTTTTATTTTTTTTAGTCTCTATAGAAGCAGTATACCCAGAAAAAAAGCAAAGTGACTTAGGCATCAGAAGATTTGAGTGTGAATCCTATTTCTGGCACTTAATATCTATGTGACCTTGGGCTTTTCATTTCCCTGGAAAATAACGAAGTTGAATTTAATGACCACTGAGGTCCCTTCCAGTTTTAAAGTGATAATGTTATTATTGTCTTTCTGTGAGGTTTTAAATTCCTCCCCTGAGGCTGAGCTTCACCTGATCTGTATGAGGTCAAATGCTGAAGGAGGGGTGGTACCTGGCTCCCCAGGATAGGAGTTGTTCGACAACTTCCTAGCTAAGGTCAGTTGTTTATAGGGGTCTTGTGAACAGCAACACATTATTGACTTAGTATCTCTGAACTTTCACATTGCTGACCACATTTGGTTGAGTCTGTAATAGAGATGTATGAGAAGCCACTTAAAAGCATTATATAAGTATCAGTTACTATTATTACCTAACAGAGACAAATTTTCCCTTTTTTGTGGATGGGCAAGTTGAGGCCCATGGAGGTTTCTCACCCTGGAAACCCGTCTCTCAGCAGTTCGGTGCTGGTGTCTGGTGCCCCTTAAGACCTTCTAGGCAGTACCAAATGTTATCCTATGATCGCAGATTTAGTCAGAAGGGAGCTCAGAGGCCATTTACTACAGACCCCACATTTTTCAGATAAGGAAACTGAGGCCCTGGTCACACTGGTAGTAAATGGCAGAGCTAGTGTGGAACTCGGGTCCTGTAACTCCAGATCCAGCATTCTTTCCACTGTATGACTTTGCCCCAACAATTCGTATGATGCTAGGGCAGGAGGGGACCTTTTGAGGTTAGGTAGTTCAACCCACGCTCATTGCCTGCCTGAATATTTGATTTGGGATTTGAACTCAAATCCAGCTCTTTTCTTTGTACTACACATGGTCCATGCTTAGGTGTTATTCTCAAGTGGATCTGAGTACCAGGCTGACCACCTTGCTTCCTTCTGCTTCTTGTCCAGGCTTTATTTTTCTGAGGTGTTTGACGTGACCCGAGTCTAATCTGGGAAACGTATCCCAAGGAATCCTATGGGCACAAACTCTGAAAGTGGACTGGTTTTTACTAGGCTGCCAATGATGCCCCTTCTTCCATCCCAAGAGTTGCCATGCCCTGAGAGCTCAAGGGAGATTGGGGAGCTAAGCCTTCTTGCCTCCACATATTGCTGGAGTGGGAGAGGACTGGGGCCAGATTAGAAGCCTGGGGATGGATTCCACTCCTTCCACCTATGACTCCTTGTGATGGCAGTATTAGCCAAAGAACGCTATCCCCACCTTAAAAAAGTATACCCATTCTGTAGGGGTTACACCAGAAATCTTTAACAGCTAACACCTTAATTTTATCAGTGAATATTTTGGTATTTACTTGTAGTCAGATGAGAGAAAGACTAGGCCGAGGGAAATGTGAGGTCTGATGGAAAGGTCTAGGGACTTAACACTAAGCCCCCTTCCAACCTGAGATTCTGTGAGGGTAGAAGAGGCCTTGTCCATTGGAGGGCACAAGTGCCGTCAAATAAAAGGGTCACTGCACAATCTCTTACCATTAAAGATCTTGCCCTGCTGCCCCCAGCTAAGCAGTGGGAGGACACAGAGTTCTCAAAAGAATTACACTCTTGACCATATGTGCAAAATTGCACCACACAACTAAGAGGAGAAATGTGAATGAACATGACTGCGAAGATTCACCTCACAACCGGCAAAGGTGAGAAAAGGCACAGAGACACTAGGGGAGGACGGGCACACTAATGCACTGCTGGTCCAACTGTCCTGGAAAACCACGAGAGGCGTCTCAACAATTTGAATCCTTTCACCCAGAGATCTCACCCAAAGAGGTCAGAAAGGTTCCACACATATCAAAATAAACACAGCAGCATTCTTTTGCAATAGCCAAGAGCTGGAAATAAAGCCGATACCCACCCATCAGGGAATGACTAAGTGAATTATCATATGACTGTAAGGACTATTATTGTACCCTAAGATACAACAAACATGAGGGATTTGGAAGAGACAGTGATGGAAGTGAAACTAGGAGAAATCAAGAGTCAATGACTACGCTGTAGGCGAAGGCCACCTTCAAACAAGCTGAGGGAGTGTAACTCTAGCTAACATGGCCCTAGAGAAGAATTCAGACATGCACATCCCTCCCTTTCTTGGAGGGTCAAGGCTGCAGATGTGGAACGTGGCCTATGCTGGCAGCTCAGTGGACCCGGCTGACGATTTTGTTACCATCAGGGGAGGCTGAGCTGGCTTACATCCAGAAATGGCTGGGATATAGAGACAAAAATCATCCACCAAACTTTTTTTTAAAAGGAGGGTGGCCTGCATTTCAAGGGTGCTGGTTAGAATTCCAAATTTCCCACCCTGGCCCCCAAGGAGGGAAGGCAGTGGTGTGTCTTTGGGAGGCGGCCCGGTTCTCTGGCAGTGGCCCCATTTACTGGGAGAACAGATGAAGCCTCCAGGTGGAAATGAAGACCCTGGAAAGAAGATAGCAACTGAGTCCAAAGTGACACCTTTATTGGGGGAGGGGTCAGGGGTGGGGCTCTTATGTGTCACAGTCTTCTGGGATGGTGGCAGTGATAATGAGCGACTGCTCAATGACATCTGTGCTAGAAAAATTCTCCTCTGTACAAAGTCTCTGGCCAGGGAGCTGGGAAGCCAGTGCGCCTTGTGTCAGCGACTCCACGATCACCTCGGCGGAGCCCATCTCCAGCTCTGGGGGAGGCTGCAGGGCCACCACGACCATCTTCTCGTCCTCAATGACCAGGTTCCGCAGCTTCCTCTGACGGGGATTGTAGTTTTCTACTCGGTCATGGATCTCCATGTGGCGGCGCAGGTGCGCCTGAGGTAAAGAGCAGGAGAACATCAGCCGTCTGCCGAGGCGGGCCCTAGCACGCAGGGGCGTCGTGGCTATGAGCAGTGGGGAGGGGAGGAGAGGGGAATGGACGGCAGAGGCGGGAGCCCACCCCGAGGTCTGTACCTGGCGGGTGAATTTGTAGCCACACTCGGTGCATTCAAACTTCCTCACACCCTTGTGTCTCCGCACATGCACTCGCAGCTGTTCCACGGCTTGGGGGGCACGGGAAGAGAGACACAGTGCTTTGTAAGGGTCTGATGCAGCACACTTCCCACAGGGCATTCCCATCTACCCGCTCCTCTGGGCCGGTCACCTCCCCCACTCCAGACCCACCTCACCTGCTCATCTGTGAAATGGGGTGCTAGAGCAGAGGACCTCTAAGGTTCTTCTTGGCCCTCAATCCCTCACAATACAGAGATGAGGTGGTAAGGGAGAGCCATCCCTAACATAGGGGACCCTTGAGTCAAGCCTCAGCCCTGCTCCCACCCTGGGCTGGAGGGAGCTTCAAAGGACTGTTCCTCCTTGGGGCCACGGAGGTGAAATCAATCCCCAACAACTTGGGAGGAGGCCCAAGGGGAGGCAGGCAGTCACCAGGGCTGGACAAAACTGCAGAGCATGCATAGTCTACTGTGCTTCCATCTTGTGAGGCCCTCCAGCCCAATTCCTTCTCTGGCTAAACCCTCCAAAACTTCTCATTTCCATCAACAAATTAAAAGGAAGGCTGCTCCACATTTTCTCCCCAGCTTTCCCTGCAAAGGGTTCCCAAAGAAAGGGGTGTGGACCTGAGGGGAGCAGGCACCTTTGAAGGTTTTCCCACAGATCTGGCAGAAGTGGGGCCGGCCTTCCTGGTGACGGCTGGCGACGTGTCTCAGCAGCGGCCCCTTCTCTGTGAAGCGCTGCTCACAGAACTCACAGCTAAAGGGCCGCTCGCCAGTGTGCGTCCGATGGTGCTTGTCCAGGCTGGCTACAATGGAACAGAGGGTCGCATTTGGCTCAGCCCTTTCCTGCCCTCTCCTAGTTCCTGGGTCACAGCCCCAAGGAGGTCCTCGCAGTGAACCCCAAGTACTCAGGGCATTAGAGGGGAAGAGGGGAGAGTCAGACTAGAAACAAGGGTCATGACCACGGCTTCTAACTGGTAGGAGGCCAGGAGGACCGGCTGGAGGCTACCCTTCACCCCCATGCTGTGCAGGCTCCTGGGCTGGGTGGGAGAGCCAGGAATACCTTGTGTGCGGAAGGTTTTGCCACAAAGGTGACACTGGAAGGGCTTTTCCCCAGTGTGTGTACGCAGGTGCATGTTCAGATTGGCCTTCTGCGTGAAAGCGTGGCTGCAGAATTCACAGACGTATGGCCGCTCGTTCCTGTGCAGAGGGTAGAGAGACAGGAGGGGATGTGAGTGAGCAGGAAGCACAGGCTTATGAGTCCAGAACCACTGGCTCTGAGAATCACCGGGTCACCGAGTGACACAAAAGGGAACTTCTCTGCGGTTAGAACTAATGGGTTTGTCAGGAGACAAGAAGGGCATCAGAAACCAAAACCACTGGTTACCTGTAGGTAAACAGAGGCTTCTGTAGCCATGAGACCAAACAATGGGGCAGACGAAACCAGCAAAGGAAGGCGAGTGAAGGGCCGACCAGTCAAATTCGTTTAACAAACAGCTATTTACTAAGCACCTACTATGTGCCCAGTGCTGGTGATCCCAAGACACAACTAAGACAGTTGTGCTCCCATCAACAGAATGCTGGTCCAGAGGAGCAGAGAAAGCTGTATTTCAGGGCTGCATCAGGGTCAAAGAGATCCAGGCTGAGCACCAGCGCTCCCAGGCCTGGGCAGCCCCAGCCTGGTCACCTCGTCTGGCCCCAGCCTGGTCACCTCATCTGCCCCCAGCTCCACTTTCCTGTTCCTCCATCTATCAATGTGCAGATCAGACCACATCTTCTCCAAGGTCCCTTCCAGTTCCAAATCTTAGGATGGTCAGAAGCCCCTAAAAACCCACTACTGACAGCAGCTCTTTTTGTTGTAGCCAAGGCCCAGAGACAGAGCAGGTGCCCATCAGAAGGGACAGCTGAATAAACTGAGCGTGAATGCCACGAGAGGTAAAGGTACGCGCTGCCCCAGGAAAGGGTGACTGTGATGAAGATGAGCAAAGAGCCGTGAGTCCGGATGCTAAATGCAAGGCCATGAGCTAAGGAGGGAGTGATGATGGGGCCGAGGCGGGGAAGGGGGGAAACATGGTGATAAAAAATGAAGGAGACCAATAAGAAGCATTTTTTTTTTTAAAGCCAGGCCTCAGAACACATTCATTTCTCTGGGTCTCCATCCTTAGGAGGTGGAGAGTGGGTGAGGCTGGACAGTGCTGGGCCTCCCCTCCAGCCTGGCTCCTCCCAATCTGGAGCCTCCACCCAGACGGCCTTTATCGCAAGACCAGAGGCTCTAAGGCCAGACCCCAGGCCAGCTCCTGCACTTGTTACTGTAAACAAACCTACAGGTTTCTGAATCAAGGTCCTCCTCCCTTTAGATGGCCAGCCAGGGGGCCAGGGCAGTTGAGCCCCCGGATCTGGAGGCTGCAGAGGGGGCTCGGGTGTATGCTAAGAGCAATGGGGCAGGAGCTGCAGACTCTGGGTGCGGGTGGGAGATGCCTGCTCTTGGGGACTCTTCCCACCCTAGTCTAAGCAATGGCCTCCCCAGATGCTGCCCGGGCTGGGCCCTTGAGGAGAGAGGACGTACCTGTGCTTCGCCTTAATATGCATCTGGAGGCCGTTGCGGCTGGAGGCCCGGTGCCCACACTCCTCACATACAAAGAGCTTCTCTCCTCGATGCTTGAAGGCTTCATGTAACTGAAGCTCTGTTCGAGACAGGAAGCATTTGGCGCAGGTGGGACACTGCAGGTAAGAGGGGCAGGGAAATTCATGGCCCACCTTCACGACTTACAGCCTGGTTTAATGGCTGGGCCCCGTGAGGGGAAGCCCCCTGGCACCAGGACTGCAGTGTACTCTCTCTGTGTCCTGAGACTGGCACAGTGCTCAGCACATACAGCAGGTGCTTAATAAATGCCTGTGGCATGGCAAAGGGGAGGGCTGGGTAGGGTGTCAAGGACTTGGGCAGCCTTTGGTACAATTCGTCCTTCCTCCCCAGTAGGCCGCTTGTACCCACAGGACAGAGTCCCTCACCAGCTGCCCCTGGCCCAGAGGCCCCAGCTCGAGGCACTCACCGCGTGGGGCTTGGGGGCCCCGTGCAGCTTGATCATGTGGCTCTGCAAGTCCTTCTTCTGCATGAATTGTTGTGAGCAGGATGAGCACTGAAATACAGGGTCTGGGGTCATGGCCTGCCTGCCAAAGCAGCCAAGGGCTGAGCCAACCCTGCTCCAGGATGGAGCCTTGGGGCAAAGGCCCCCCATGGCAGCACCCACACACCCGTCCCTGGAGGACAGCCCAAGTGCTAGTGCCACAACAAGGAGCCCACTCCCCAGGGCCAGGGTAGGGGGTGGTTCTGAGGTGCAGCCAAGGGAAGAGAAAGCACGGGTGTGGGGGACAGAAAAGAAGGCAGCCACAGCCAGGACAGAACCCAACAGGGATGTCCTAGGACTCAGGTGCTGGAAGGGGCTGCAGAGGTCATCTGGAGGAGGTGACTTGCCCAAGGTCACACAGTCTGGGGCAGGACCCATTTCCCTTCTGGAGGTCTGTTCCAGGAGTAGGGCACCTCTCCTTCTTCCAGCCCAGCCGTGGCCTGGGGACTGACCTTGTAGGGCATTTCCCCAGTGTGGGACACCATGTGAACACGCAACTCCATCCTCCGCCGGAATGTCTCCTGGCACACAGAACAAGTAAATACCTGAAAGTGATAGGGCTGGCATCAGGGTGTCTATTTTGAGGCCATCAAGTCTGGTCAGGAAAGAGTCAGGCAGGAAGCAGTCTTGGCCCTGTCTTTGCTTAAATTCTAAAAGGCTTAAAAGTCTGCTCAAGTGTGCCTGGTGGTCGAGTAGCCAAGGTGTGGAGGGGAGGGTGCAGAGCTACACATAATAAGCAGAGGGGATGAGAGCAGCCCTGCCCACACCCCCTGCCACCTGGCCTCTGGGGAGCCTCTGGGAAAAGGAGGATTTGGGGCCACGGGCTAGGTGGGCAGCAACACCATTGCCCTTCCTTATGAGCAAAACAGCCTGCATTCCTGTCACGCCCAAAGTCAATTGAGGTTCCCAAGGCAAGCAAAAACCTAACTATGAGCCAGGAACTAGCTGTGTGACCTTGGGAGGGTTCTTTAACTCCGACATCCTCTGTCCTAAGGGCCCTCCCAGCTCTGACAATTCTGGGTTCTAAGGGCCCTCCCAGCTCTGACATTCTGGGTTCTAAGGGCCCTCCCAGCCCTGACATTCTGGGCTCTAAGGGCCCTCCCAGCTCTGACAATTCTGTGTTCTAAGGGCCTTCCCAGCTCTGACACTGTGGGTTCTAAGGGTCCTCACAGCTCTGACATTCTGTGTTCTAAAGGTCCTCCCAGCTCTGACATTCTGGGTTCAAAGGGTTCTCCCAGCTCTGACATTCTGGGTTCTAAGGGTCCTCCCAGCTCTGAC